AGGGAAGGAGGCGGGGCTGGGGCAGGGATTTGGGGAAGGGGTCCAATAGGGGCAGGGAGGGGGGGGAGTTGGGGTGGGGACGTTGGGGAAGGGGTTAGAATTGGGCGGGGGCAGGGGTGGGGTCGGGGCGGGGGGAGGGGTCGAGCACCCACCGGCGCCAGGAGAAGTTGGCGCCTATGCTACTGCTTCCTCTGTAAGACAGAGGGCCTTTCTTTTACCAACAATTATTTTATTCTTTGGCATATCCCCATCTTCTTCATTCTGTGCTTGTGTGGAACTATCATTTCATGCTCAGGGTGAAGCGCAGAAGAAAGGCATGGAAAAAATTACTCACCATTGTAGGAGTTATTTTTCCCTTCCCAATGACACTTTCTCAGCACATGCTTCCCTGAAGTCTTCCTCCCATTCTACTTTTGATGAGTAAATAGAATAGAAAGTGTTGGAGAAGAAAGGCCTTTTGGTGAGAAGGACTGTTTCATATGGACAGGTGAATGGGAGGGGAGAAGAGAAACTTATGAATCTGTCGATCAAAAGTCCTACCATCTTGTGAACTCCCAGGAATAATACATTTTGTGTTGAGGGAACATTGCTGGGAAGAGAATAGGGATTCCTGCAGCAGCGAGAAACACTTCTTTTCATTCTGACCAACATGTAGTTTGTATACTAACCCTTTTTTCACAAAACATATACATTAACTCTGAAATAGAGAACACCTTATTAAAGACAAACACAACACAACTGTAATATGACATTCATATTTTTAGATGTGTTTAGGCCATTTAGTATCTTATTCAGATTCTATGTACCCAATTCATATTTTAATCCCCTTTGTGTATCATTCAGTGTTCTCTCTATTCCTTCTGCTTTATTTCCTTTTAAAATAATGAACAAGATGTTGTAAAATGGGACTGAGAATTACAATTATGAAAGCAGGGATGGGTGAGGACGAGGAAGCTTTAAAAACAGCAATGCATCAGCAACTTTTTAAGCTACTATTTGGTTTCTGTTCTAGTACAGTGGGAAGATAATGATTAAACAGATTCCAGTCGTTAAACCTCCACACAAATTTTATCTCGTATGTGAATTGTATTTATAAAAGCAGTAAGGAATCTTTCCCCATATCCATCGAACAAATGGATATAAACTGGCCATCAGGAAGTTTAGACTTGAAATTAGACGAAGGTTTCTAACGATCAGAGGAGTGAAGTTCTGGAACAGCCTTCCAAGGGGAGCAGTGGGGGCAAAAGACAGATCTGGCTTCAAGACTAAGCTTGATAAGTTTATGGAGGGGATGGTATAATGGGATAGTCAAACACCAACTAATTGCCAAAATTAGGCTATTAGCGGTAAATATGCCCAATGGCCTGTGATGGGATGTGAGATGGGATGGGATCTGAGTTACTACAGAGAATTCTTTCCTGGGTGTCTGGCTGGTGAGTCTTGCCCACATGCTCAGGGTTTAGCTGATCGCCATATTTGGGGTCAGGAAGGAATTTTCCTCCAGGGCAGATTGGCAGAGGCCCTGGGGGGTTTTCGCCTTCTTCTGCAGCGTGGGGCACGGGTCACTTACTGGAAGATTCTCTGCACCTTGAAGTCTTTAAACCATGATTTGAGGACTTCAATGGCTCAGACATAGGTTCGATACAGGAGTGGGTGGGTGAGATTCTGTGGCCTGCGTTGTGCAGGAGGTCAGACTAGATGATCATAATGGGGACCTTAAAGTCTATGATTCTATGATCTTTTACTTAGTTTTGCACACAGCCCATTCACAACATGCCCATGTGTCACTACATCAGGGCTTGTAAAATGCAACCCAAGCATTGTCAGGTATGTGAGCAGCTTTCCCAATGTGTGCATGTACTTGTGCTGACACTGGTCCATGGGCTTTAATGCTAAAAATGTCAAGGCAGCCAAAATGCACTGGGGGGGGGGCAGAGGGGAAGCAATAGCTGTAGAATTTGCTCCCTTTCCATATGTTCACAAAAGCATGTGCATAAAAAGCAAGGGAGAGCAGGAACAGAAAGTGAAGTACAAAGAAGGAGGAAAAAATGAAGCAAGAAACATAAGAACATAAGAACGGCCATACTGGGTCAGACCAAAGGTCCACTGAGCCCAATATCCTGTCTTCCGACAGTGGCCAATGCCAGGTGCCCCAGAGGGAATGAACAGAACAGGTAATTATTAAGTGAGCCATCACCTGTCGCGCATTCCCAGCTTCTGGCAAACAGAGGAAGAGGAACAAAGGATGATCAGAAAAAAAAGGGAAGAAAGAAAATGAACCAGAAAAAAAGGGAGAGAATGGGAGAGGAGAGATAATGAACAAGTAGAGAAAACATGTTAGAGGAAAATATGGCTAAAATTTCAGGTGTGTAGTTCTGAAAAGGTTATTGTCCTTTTTTACATACACAAAGACAAGGAAAGAGGGAATGTCATGTTTCTTCTTTCTTCTGCCTCCAGATGTCATTTCTTAAGTGTGTTCGTTACTGCTCCTTCTTTTCTGTCTGTCTGTCTCTATCTTTTGAGGACTGGAACGGGACATCATGCTTCCCTATGTGCCTGTCAGAATATCTGGTCTGTGAGACAAAACCCTTAGAATCATAGAATAGTAAGACTGGAAAGGACCTCAAGAGGTCTTGTAGTCCAGTCCCCTGCACTTAAGCCAGCACTAAATATTATCTAGGCCATCCCTGACAGGTGTTTGTCTAACCAGCTCTTAAAACTCTCCAATGATGGAGATTCTACAACATCCCTAGACAATTTATTACAATGCTTAACTACCCTGACAGTTAGGAATTTTTTCCTAATGTCCAACCTAAACCTTCTTGCTGCAATTTAAGCCCATTGCTTCTTGTTCTAGTCTCAGAGGTTAAGGAGAACAATTTTTCTCCATCCTCCTTGTAATAACCTTTTATGTACTTGAAAACTTATCATGTCCCCTCTCAGTCTTCTCTTCTCCAGACTAAACAAACCCAATTTTTTCAATCTTCCCTCATAGGTCACATTTTCTGGACCTTTAATCATTTTTGTTGCTCTTCTCTGGACTTTCTCCAGTCTGGCCACATCTTTCCTGAAATGTGGTGTAACCCACACACTTTCTGGGTGTGGTGTTCTGTCCCATCTAGTGGCACCGAGACTACTAAGAGAGTTAAATGAGTCTGCTCTACAGCCTTAGCCAAAAGCCAGTTGGCTTTTAGCTCATGCACTTAGCTCCAGAGGTCCCAGGTTTGATCCCGCCTGCTGACGACCAGGGTCTGTCAGTGTTACAAATGGGGGCTCATCCAGGATTTCAACTGGGAAGACACTGAAGCTCAGGACGCGCTTCCTCAGCTAGAGGAAGTACGTAACCCATACTCTTTCTGGGTGTGGTGTTCTGTCCCATCTAGTGGCACCAAGACCACTAAGGGAGAAAGTTAAATGAGTCTCCTCTATAGCCTTAGTTAACAGGCAGTTGGCTTTTAGCTCATGCAGTAGAGGCTCATACACTAAGCTCCAGAGGTCCCTGGTTCGATCCCCCCGCCGACAACCGGGGTCTGTCGGCGTTACAGTGGCACCCAGAACTGTACACAATATTCCAGTTGAGGCCTAAACAGCACGGAGTAGAGTGGAAGAATTACTTCTTGTGTCTGGCTTACAACACTCCTGCTAATACATCCCAGAACGATGTTTGCTTTTTTTACAACTGTGTTACACTGTTGACTCATATTTAGCTTGTGATCCACTATGATCCCCAGATCCCTTTCTCCAGTACTCCTTCCTAAGCAGTCATTTCCCATTTTGTATGTGTGCAACTGATTATTCCTTCCTAAGTGGCATACTTTGCATTTGTCCTTATTGAGTTTTATCCTATTTACTTCAGACCATTTCTCTAGTTTGTCCAGATCATTTTGAATTGTAATCCTAGCCTCCAAAGCACTTGCAACCCCTCCCAGCTTCAACCACAGACTTTATAAGTGTACTCTTAATGCCATTATCTAAATCATTGATGAAGATATTGAAGAAGAACCAGACCCAGAACTGATCCCTGTGGGACCCCACTCAATATGCCCTTCCAGCTTGACTGAGAACCCCTTATAACTATGAACTATATTTGCCCATTTCCAGTCCTCTGGAATCTCTCCCGTTGTCCATGACTTTTCGAAGATAATCGCTAATGGCTCAGATATCTCCTCAATCAGCTCCTTGAGTATTCTAGGATGTATTTCATCAGGCCCTGGTGACTTGAAGACATCTAAATTGTCTAGGACTTGCTCTGCCATGAACGTATACAATATTTGCCATTAGAAAAGAAAGAATAACATTTTCCAACACTTCCCACACAATGGTGTTTGAGATACCAATTGTTCTGTATAGTTAAAATAGCAAAGAACCAGGAAGACTGTTGAATGCTTTATGGCAATCACTCCATAGCATATACAGGAATCTTTTGTTTCAAAGGCAATGCATGAAACATTGTTTCGCATAAATGTTTTTCCACAGCATTAATTACTTCACAGACCACTGAAAAGTCCTTTGATGGTAAATATTTTGTTACTACTAACATCAGCTGGATTTCAGCCAATAACTTAAAGGTGAAAGGCTTAATATTTCAGGTATTAAAGCTCAAATGCAAAAAGTCTACACACAATGGGCCAGATTGTGGTTGCAAAGCCACTGGCAACACTGAAGGTGCTCTGGAAATAAAGTGCACCAGAAGGAACTCCCAGAGACATTATGCTGTAGGAAAGTCACTGCTGTTACAGAGCAACATCCATTTGCCCTGGTCAGGGGCCAGCTCTGCTTGCTGGTGCAGAGTGGGAGGACAGAGCCATATCCCCACCCATTCTCCATCCAGTTTGGGCAGGCCTGTGCCAACAGCAACAACAGACTCATGAGTGCAAGAACTGGTATTGCGTCCAAGCTCTGCAAAGGGACACAAGGAGGTAAAGGCACCAGCTTCTTTTGGCATCAAGAAACAATGCATAAATGTCACTTGACAGGAAAGTAAAATAGCTCCTTATTACCTTTTCTTCAGAGTCCCCTGGCTGACAAGTAATAACTCCATCTTGTGAACCCCCAGCAAACGTTGCTTTGCAGTTTGCAAGCCACTGTTTTCAGAGAAAAAAAGTGAGGTATTAGCTCTGGCTAGATTTAAAGAAGGGTAACAAAGTATTTTAGTCTCACAATATGATGTCTTGAAAACATATTAAGTCAAGTTTTGCAATTAAGCTCTTCATTCATACAGCCCAACACATTTTGCATTAGCGGATTGAGTTAAAAAGCTAGAATTCTGATTTCTAATAGTGTTTATATTGTATAAACAAAACAAATTAATACATGAATTACTAATTAATAGAGAGGAGCAGCTTGACAGACTAGAGAATGCACACACATTTGAAATTAAGCTCTATAAAGAGCCATTCTTTTAATTCTTGTTGTATCAATTACCATATCTTCCAAAAAAAGAGAGAGAAGACATTTATGGATCCAAATTCTAGATACAATATTGACCTACAAAATGTTATACTACTATTAATTTAAACAGATTTGAGATCAAAACGTTTTAATATATGAATACACAGGGCAATAAAGCATAGAAATCTTGCTTACTGAGAGAGTTGCTTCTTTCCTGTTGTTGTATGTGTCCAAATACTCCTGTAGTTCTAGAACACTGAATTTTAGCTTTTCAAGAAGTCCACAAGAGAGAAGCTGGAAACATTAAAATAAAAAATGGGCCAGTAAATTTTACTATTAAAGAAGAAACATATTTGTAAAGTAGAAGCTATGGTATGCACTGCAAAAAGGCACTTTAAAGTTTACCCGTTGCCAGTCTCAATCCCATGCTAAAACTCTACTAACACTGCTGGATGTACAGGTTCCTGCTCCAACTGGAATTAAAATTGAAAACACAATCCATCTTGCTAATGGTTCTGGCAGCCAGTAAGGGTTTCTGGAATAACTAGCATTTTCTTTTGACTTTCAGAGCTTGATTCCATCTGCAGTGCATGTTCAGGAGCTACTGGAGCTGAGACAAGCCACCTTAGCCCTTACTACTAAAATCTCAGGAAACACATTTGTACTCTGGGCTTCAGCTCAAAATGCTACAGAGCTGACCTTCCCAAATAAATACACAAAGTGCTGTACAAATATTAACCAGTTAATCTTCACAAGTCTCCTGTGAGGTAAGTAACAATATACACATTTTTACAGATACAGAAACAGATGCACAGAAATTAATAACTTTTCAGAGGCCACAGCAGTGAGTCAGAGCAGACCCAGATTATAGATCAGACATTTCTAGCTTGCAGCTTTATATAAAATGCGCAAGATCACACTGCCACCACAGAACATCTACCTATGGCTAACTGATAAAAGATGGACGAAGTCACAAGAAATTAGAAAGGTTGTCTCATTTCGTAGAGCCAGACTGTATCATACAACCCATATTACACTGAACTCAAATGAAGCTGCTGAGCATATTGTGTTGTCTGATGTCTCAACATGGCTAGAGCCAGCTCTGCCCCCTCCTCTTCTCTTTCAGATATAGAGCTAGAAGAGGAAGAGATGACTCAAATGTCATGAAGTGTTCCATGCCAACCTGGCAATGCACACAATGTTGGCTGCTTGTTAACTTCAATCACTGAGGCATGTAGGGCCGCTGAGGGAGTGCACAGGCACTGTTGGCTTTCCCAAGAGCCCCATACTGAACAGCAAAGCAGCAAAAAGAAGGCCATTCTGAAAACCTGCCCCACTAAAATTGGTTGGCCTCTTCAAAAGCCACCTGCTGGTGGCTTCTTCACTCTTTTTTCTCCAACAGAAATACATGGTACTCCAACTACTTTGCCCTGTCCAGAGCAGCACCACGAGAGAAGCCTTGCTTCACAGCATGACAATGTATTGATGGAATCAATGTGTATAAGTGTAGGGATATTAAAGAAGGTACTAACAGTGATTCCCCCAAGTGACAGTGACCCCCTCATAATTTGTCCCCCACACTTTAAAATCCAACAGTTTCACCAAGTACAAAAATCTCTTGGGTCTTCTGTTAAAACTTGTAAGCTACTGTCTGTAGAAACCATTGATTATATCTATCCTGTAAAAGATACTTTATTACTATGTAAAACTTACAAACAAGTTAATTGACTTTGTTCTTGAAGTAATTGATACAATGTAAACAAACACTATAAGCCGTTAAGTGACTTTCACTTCATTCAACGGCTCCTAGGACAGACCTCCACCCTCTGTGATTAAAGGGCTGGGAGTCTCAAATGAATTAGCACACACCCTGAAAGTGGTGGAGACAGTAAATTAAAATATGGTTAAAATATGAAATGTATGCTGATGAATGCTTGATATACATGAATGGTTAGGGAAGTGCCAGCCTAGAAAGGGAGTATCCATCGGCCCGAAGAATGTGTCAAGTGGATGACCAGAAAACCCCCGGAGGGTAAACTGGGATCCACCCCGTCACCTGGAAGGATGAGAAACACAAACTTGGGACAGTTTGGAGCCACCAGGAATGTGCCCAGGAATGTGTCCAGGAATGTGCCATCTGCTGATTAAGTCAGCAACAGCAGGATGAAACAGCTCCCATAGACTAACGGTACGTCTACACTTACCGGAGGGTCCGGCGGCAGGCAATTGATGTTCTGGGATCGATCCCGGAAGTGCTCGCCGTCGACGCCGGTACTCCAGCTCGGCGAGAGGAGTACTAGGCATTGACGGGGGAGCCTCCCTGCCGCGTCTGGACCCGCAGTAAGTTCGGACTAAGGTACTTCGAATTCAGCTACGTTATTAACGTAGCTGAATTTGCGTACCCTAGTCCGAAGTGGGGGCTTAGTAGGGACCAGGCCTAACATAGGAATTAATTCCTATAAGAATGGACTCTCAAGACTGATGACTTTGAGTCTCTGGTTCTGCTGCCAACCTCCAGGAGCATCAGGTGCATCTGACACAGACTCGGCTCCATCCTCATGACCAAGATACGTGGCCAGTAACTTGGCATGAGCAACTTCTAGGCTGGTAACTATAACACCTATACAGAACTTGAATAAATGATTGTGTGAATAAATCTCTCTCTCTATATATGTGGGTGTGTATAAGAAATAAGTAGTGATAGAAATAAGTAGTCAAACAACGTTGTTTACTTTTATCTTTTGCTTTATCATTATATTTACAATAAATGTGGCATCTTTGCCTTATCCTTCTTAATAAGATCCTGCTGGTTTTTATTCTATTGGTATAACACCCTGAGATGGGGAAGAGGGGGCAATGGGAAAGCATGCAGAGACCCTGGCACAGGGCGTGTGCAAGAAGTCCCTGAAAAAGAAGAGACGGGAGAATGGCACCTGGGAGCTTGAGGGTGGAGTGGGGAAATGGAGGAATACAAGTAGCCCTCTGGTGTGTGCAATTCTTTTGGCCTACAAAAGCAACTAAGTGTTGCTAAGTTATTGCTTAGTTATTATCATTATTATCATTACTAATCCAAAACATAATGCAAACTGTGAATATGTGGATTTGGGTTTCATCAAAGTGTGAACTAGCAAGATTCTGCTCTACAATCTCTTCAAACCACAAACTCGCATCCTTATTATAAGCACAATTTTGACTGAAGAAAACAAAATCACTTCCAACAAAAGAAGCTGGATATTTCCAGTATTCTCCAATAAGGCTGTACAAATAGTTTGTGTAGAAATCTAAGCCTGACAACCCAAGAACATTCTGAGTGAGGTTCAGATGTTTGCATTGCCAATCATTGTGTCAGCACATTGCAACATCAACACCACCAGCTCACTAGGAATGTAGGTTTCGGATAAACTTTGCTGAACTGTCTGGTAAACAGATGAATCTGGTAAACTGTCTGGTAAACTTCTTCCAAGTTTGGTCACCTTCATCCTCCTGTCATTGTAAATAGTCTACAACTAATGAGCTGAACCTGGTTTCTAAGGACTTGTCTACATTAGAAAGTTGTACCACTTTAACTACATTATATTATAGTTAAAGTGGTACAACCATCCACCCCTTCCCCCCGAGTGTAGATGCAGTTATATTGGCATAAAGTGCTTTATACCAGCATAGCTATTCCTGTACAAGAAGGGGAATAACTATGCCAATAGAACTCACCTTTATATTGGGATAGCTGTGTCCACACTAGGGCTTCTACTGTTATAAATATATTGTTAAAAAATAAAATCATATCCCTAATTGACACAGTTATATTGGTAAAACTTACAGGCAATTATATCCTTTGTTCGTCTTGAGACACAGATTCTTGAACACATCTCATTTAAAGAACCACTTACCAGCATTATTAATCTCTAATAAAAGAGTATGAAAATGCAATGGAAGTTTGGTTGACAATGGGGGAAAAAAGCACTATAATCAGGAGATGTATGTGTAGGAATCCAAGAGGGCAGGTGCCCCTTGATAAGTATATTCTTCAGCAGACCAAAGGTGGGATAATCAGGGGGTCTCTCCAAGGCCCCAATATCTGTCTCCAAACTACTAGACAACTTAAACAAGAAAAATCTCCCAAAACTGTTGCCACCCTAGCCTCTTTTACACGACACAAACTGGACATGCTAGTTATTATCCGCTACAGGAATATACTCACTGTTTCAGCATCTACGAAAAGAGTGGGGCATTCTGAACAGGAAGTTAGCATCTGAGAAGAGCTCACAAACTTTGAGCCTATTCCTCGTAGGTTGTCGCCAAGGTAACTGGCAGCATCACAAGTTAGGAAGCAGAACCTTTTCTGAATATTCTGTGAAACAAAATAGTTCTTATCACATTCATTGCTCAAGTACAAACGTCTTTCCTTTGCAAACACAATTGCATACATTCTTTCTTCATACAATAACAGCACGTTCGAAAGAAACCATCCCCATGGGAGGAAGTGAATGTTTGTCCAAGGATATTGAATAACAATTACTATTACACTGGACACAGTGCTCAGAAGTTTCTCCAGATAGGCAGCTGTGGAACTGGCCAGAGAATTCACATTTAGCAATAGAATTACAAACTGCTGCTGAAGTACCATGTTCTTGCTTGTGAGGATGATTCATTCTTTATAAACTATGTACCCTCAAATAATGTATGCTCAAATAAATTTGTTAATCTCTAAGGTGCCACAAGTACTCCTGTTCTTTTTATGTACCCTCATGTAACTTTTTCTTGTTCCTGCTGATTACCAGTGTTGATCAATACATGAATTCTCTGCCCATTCTGGATACTGTTTTGTTAGTTCCCAATATCAAGAGGCCAATCAAATAAAGCAACAAGCCTAATATCAAACAGCAGCACAGAAACTCATGAAAGAGGTTTCTCTGCTTTTGTTTTCCACTCTGCAGAGAAACCTCCTTGCTTGAACACCTCTGCTGCTTGGGAAGGCTCCAACAGTATAAAGTTGCATTTGGAAACTATTGTTCACACAGCTTTTTGATATCTGAGTGGGTACAGCACCTAAAAGAGTACATAGTCTTGGTCTTCAAGGAGCATACTGCTTCTGTAACTTCTTTTTAATGACTTCCATTTAATAAATAATAGTAATAAAAAGACAGTTTAAGCCTTTCAAGAACTGAAACAATTATGCAAATATCACTGCCACAATATACTTCTGAGACCAAAAGCTCAGTAGGATTGACATTTAAAAAATGGATGAGACAATGTATGGATTATGAGACCACCTAAAGTTGCATTAGATAGGAAAAGCAATTTTAAAAAGGATTTATAAACCCTCATGCCTTGGGGCACAAATCAACCATGGCCAGGGAGAAATCTCCCCTATGGACAAACTTATTCCATAATTGTCCATTCCTGACTGTTCCTCTAACGCACCTGATACTGGTTACAACCAGAGACAGGATACACAATTAGATGGACTACTGGTCTGATAAAGCAATTCCTCTGTTTCCCCCATTCTGCCTCTAGACTGAAGAATTACAATTTACACATTACACAGTAAATGGGTTAGATACTCTACTGTACTGAGTTTCTCTTCCATGCAGCTGAGATGAGGGGCTGTCAGGTAACTGATTACAGCTCCTTGATTCTCTGCCTAGCTCTGGTGCAGAATATGCCAGCTAGCAATAGTCCCAAAGGGACTGTCTGTCATCTGAGGATAGCCAGAGCACACAACGCTCCAGCCATGCTTGTGCCCCACCCTCTGTACCGATGGCTAAAAGGAACGGTCACATAAGATGAGCCAATGACAGTTCTATGCTTGATAATGACTCCCCCCACATGCCAGGGGGATCCTTAGCAGGGAATATAGGACAAGATTCCATTCCCTTTTCTCGACCAGAATGGGGCAGCATATGGGCTTATATTTTTAAATATTACAGTCTTGTTCATTTTGGAACACAATTTTGTTTTTCACAGAACATGGTCAAGTCAATACATTTTTTTTTAAAAAGATCATTTTTAAACATACTGATAACTTTAGGATGCATCAGCCAGATGTCTATGGAACATGATGATGCATAGAGCAAATTCACTATTCTGTCATCTTTATACATGTGGATGAGGTCGCAATAAAAAAAAGTTTAAAAGAAATTAATTTAGTGGTCTCCTACATTATTCCTCATTTGTCCATGTTACAACAATCTCCGTTTGATTCAGACTGATTGACAGCCTATATTCATGGCAGACTCTGAAGTAGAACTGGAAGGATGTTGTATGTCAGAAACGTGACACCTTGTTAGAACTGTGGCGGGACGCTTGAGTATCTACTTCTGCTATGAACTGGCTGAAGCTAGTGCTATTTGTTCCCAACTGTCATCAATTCCAATTTCACGCCATATTTTTATGTTTTAAAGTATTATTTTCCTAGAAATGGTAACAGAATACATAGATATCAACAGGAAATTATTTAATTAAAGCATAAAGTATAGATAGGTGAGCATGAAGTGCACATCTGATCATTACCTGGGCTAGCATTACTTTGGACCACATAGCTTTTGATAAGAATCGACTTGAGATGACTGCAAAACCTCTCCTTTCTTCTATGTCGGGGTGTTCAGACACAGTCTAATCTTACATAGACATATGACAATCTTCAGAAGTTTGAGAGCCGGGGCATGCCTGCTAGAGCTCAAGGCTTCAGCCCTGTGGGGAGGGAGGTCTGGGGGCTTCAGCCCCAGGGGAGGTGCCTGCTGGGGCTGAAGCCCCAAGCCCTAGAAGGCGTGCCCCACAGGGCTGAAGCACCGAGAGCTCTCTCCCTGCTGGGCAGAAGCCAGAGGCGACACATGGGGCGGAGGGCATACTATGTCGTCCCCCCACCCCCTGATTTTTTGCCAGGGTTTGCTGGCCCTGCTTGGTCACATGATGCTGCAGGGCCCACTCCCTGCATGGCAGCTGCTGGAACCAGCAAGCTGGTAGCTGCAGCCGTGGGGAGAGGCAGCAACAAACAGCTGGGAGCTGCAGGAAGAGCCGCTGCCTCTCCCCATGGAACTAAAGAAGTGGCCCCTCCCTGCAGTTCCCAGTTGTTTGCTGCTGCCTCTCCACACAGAGCTAACAGCTGGGAGCCTCAGGGAGGGGCCACTGAGGGTAAGGCGGGGGATGATTCAGGCTGGGGGGGGGCTGAATCTTTAAATTGTGTCGTCCCCCCCACCTTCTTGGCAGGCACCAGTCATTCCTGGCAGAAGCCCCTAGCCTCACCACCCCATCGCAGGGCAGAAGCCCCCAGCTCCCCTCTCCCAGTCTGGTAGGCAGAGAAGGTGGGTGGGTGGGGGCTCCACAAAGAGCTGCATGCGGCTTGCGAGCCATGGTTTGGCCTCCCCTGTTCTATGTGCATCACAAAGTAAAATGAAATTGTTTATCACATAAAGGAAAAGTTCCTTAGGCTATAACAAAACATATTACTGGAAAGCAAACAGTGTGTTTTCATGTGTTTATTTTATTTTCTGGTCATAACTTTCCAAAGCATTTTAGCTGTAGATTAATCAAAACCTGGTTCAGACTAAGTGTCCTCACTCCTTCATTTCCTTCCCTTTCTAACAAACTGCTCTTTTACAGTTATTCACAAATACGACATTCATTCATACTATAGCTCAGCAGGCAAAGTGAGCACCTACACGATGCTGCGTTCCAACCAGTAGGAGGTGTTCCTGTTATGTGCATCCAACCTCCTTGTAGAAAGGAGTGCCACGTCCCTGCTGCACCAGAATTCCACAAGCTCCTGGAGTGACTATTCTCAAATCTGGGTTTCTTGTAATCCTACCATTGAACAGGAACTGCCATGCTGGATCAGATCAGTAGTCAGGGCCGTCCCTACCCACATGCAAAGTACGCAGCTGCGTAGGGCACCAGGAAATTTGGGGCACCAAATTTCCTGGTGCCCTACGCAGCTGTGTGCTGCTCCAGCCCCTGCTCCGCCTCTTCCCCATGGCCCCGCCCTGCCCCAGCCCTGCCTCTTCCCACCCCTGCTCCGCCCCAGCCCCGCCCCCACTCCAGCTTTTCCCCTGAGGACTGCAGCAGGAGTCGGGTGTCCTGCACTCACCAGCGGTGGTAAGTGGAGCGACTCGGCCCCAGCCCACTCCGTGCCGCTGGCGAGTGCTGGGGGTGGTCCTCCCTGTCCCCCAAGTCCAGGAGCCAGGGGAGCAGAGTGGAGCGGGCTGGGTCTGGGTCGCTCCACTTCCCGCTGCCCCATGAGTGCAGGGTCGGGCCTGCCCTGCACTCACCGGGCAGCAGGAAGTGGAGCGACCCGGCCCCAACCCTCTCCACTCTGCAGTTTCCCCCCTGACCCCCAAGCCTGCTCCTGCCCCCCTGCAGAAGCCTGGGGCCAATGCCCCCTCCCCCCCTGTGGAGGCCTGGGGCCTGACACAGCCCCCCCTTTGCCTTTGTCCTTATGGAATTTCATCCTATTTATTTCAGGCCATTTCTCCAGTTTGTTAAGAGCTGTTAGAGAGGAGAGCATCTAGACGAAATACAAATATTGGGCACACCAGACCTGGAAACATTTCCACTTTTGAAGGTGGTTTACTACTGCCCAGGAGTACAGAGTAAACTTCCAGAGAATAGTCGAGTTCTATGCCCGAGAACCATCTAGCAGCCAGACTTTGAGGTGAAGAGCAGCCAGACTGGGGTGGGTTATGGCCCCTGAGCTCTGAGTCAAGAGATCTGCTGCCAGAGGGAGGTGGAAAGTCATTCGAAGGAAAAGGTAAAGCAGGTCCTGGAACCAAACTTGGCACGGCCAGGCCAGAGGTATGAGCATCACTACTGCGTGATCTTGTTTCAGCTTGTATTAGAGGTGTTGGAGGTAGAAATATAGGAGTGTGTGAGGTTAGGTGATGATGAGGACATCCCCCAGGGAGTTGTGACACTCCTCTCCCTCACTTTGAGCAAAAAAGTGGTGGCATTTCTCATTGGAGAGTGTTGCAAAAAGATCTACCTCGAGAAGTCCCCAGGACTGCCAGATGTTCTGGAAGACCGAGTCATTGAGTTCCCACTTGTGGTCCTGGTGGAAGTGCCAGCTGAGGGAGTCCACTATGGTGTTCTGCAGGCCCACTAGGGAGACCACTGAGATGTCTGTGAGGCAGGAGATGCACCAGTTCCAAAGCCTCATGGCTTCTGTGCATATGGACTGGGATCTTGCTCCCCCTTGGCAGTCTGTATAGTACACTGCTGTCCTGTTGCTCAGCATCACCTTGATTGAATGGTCTTCGATGCTGGGGAGGAAGTGCTGCCACACATAGTGAACTGCCATGAGTTAGATGATATTGCTATGGAGAGATGACTCCTGGAGAGTCCATTTTCTCTGGGCTG